GCTTAACCGACTGAGCCACCCAGGCGCCCCAAGCCTCCTCTTTTTTGTTTGTTTGTAAGTAAGCTCCATGCCCAATATGGGGCTGGAACTCACAACCCCGAGATCAAGAGTTGCATGCTCTATCGACTGGCCAGCCAGGTGCCCCGCCTTGTTCTTTTTTTAAAAATTGAGATATAATTGACATAAAATATGGTGTAAGTTTGAGGGGTACAATGTGTTGGTTTGATACATGTGCATGTTGCAATATAATTACTCCAGTAGCATCAGCTAACACCCTTAGCCCTTCACAGATTTTCACTTTTTTGTGCGGAGAGCAATGAAGAGCTAGTCTCTTAGCAACTTTGAAGTTTATAATGCCTCCTTCTTTTCTCTCTGAGATTCCGTAAGCATTTTGCCTGAATAGTTGGAGTCTTTTTTGTCTTTGAATCTCATTAGCCTCGTCCAGATATATCTTGGTGTTGCTCCTTCTCTGTAATTTTCCTCCGGGGCCAGGAGCATCCTCTTAATTCGTAAAGTTAGGTTTCCTAAATTCTTAAATACGATTTTAATTTGAACTTCTTTTTTCTTGTGCGTTCTCTTTCTTTTTCTGGAACGGGTCATCCAAACGTCCCTCTGTTGTCTGCTGTCCACAGCCCCCACCCTATACTTCTGTCTTTCTCTTTCCCTCTGGGTGGCAGTCCTGTCCTCAAGCCCATCGTTCATGCCCCAGACTTGGCTTTCTGCTAAGTTCCTGGGCTTTTTTGCATGGCTCAAATCTTTCTCTTGGGTTTCTTCCCTTCACTTATCATTGTGTTCTCTTTCTTCTTGGATGTCTTCTTTGATATTTTATATCATTCGTCTCCTCTTTAATTTTGCATAAGTTCCATGATCACGGCCCCCCCCCCCGTCGCCATTTTTTTGAATGGGTGCAATTCTTTCTTGCCTGTTATTTACCCAGGAATAGGGGAGATGAATTCACCTGGCACTATTGATTCCTCCCCTCAGTCTTCAACCCAGAGGGCTGGATATCGGCGATTTGTATTCCGTTCGGTCATTCAGCTTCCGGTGGCAGCGGGAAGAGGGGGTGGGGACAGCAGGTGGCAGCAAACAGAATATCTGGTCTCTAGCACTTTCCCTCCAGCTCTGTTGACGCCTCTGAATTTGTGGGGCAGGCCCCCCAGCCTCCTCATGCACAGAATGCTGTCCTGTTGGCAGGATTCTAGAATTAATTCAAGGATGCTGTCATATACCTGTGCTCAAGTGAGGTGGTCTGCAATCGTTATGGGGTCTCTAGGAAGCGAATGGAATTAGGAAATTTCCCTCCATACGGGGTTGTAGACCCTCCACATGCTGTCAAAGGGAAGGGCTAGGCGTGTATGTTAATCAGGCCATCCCCCCGTTTCCTCTATATTCTCCCACTGCTACCCTTCCAAAACATGGGGCTAAAGTCTCTTCTGTAAGAGAAAGCCATGTGGGGGTCTGTTGTCCTCGGGGGTGTGCATGAGTCCTGGGGAGCTGTCTCAGAGACCACCTCCTCCCCACCCTGCCCTCACACATTTCCCTCAGACTGCAGACCCCATGTAGCCAAGTCATAAGGGGGTCTGGGCAGTGGGTCCAAGCTTGAAAGGCCCAGGGCCCGGCAAAACTCCAGAAACCACAGCTACACAGAGAAGCAGGAACAGGAGGAACAGGGCACATGCCCTTGAGAGGCAAGTGAAACCGAGATCTTTTCTTTTTTTTAAGATTTTATTTATTCATTTGAGACACAGAGATACAGAGAGAGAGAGACAGAAAGTATAAGCAGGGAGAGAGGCAGAGGGAGAGGGAGAAGCGGGCTCCTTGCTGAGCCAGGAGCCCGATGTGGGGCTTGATCCCAGGACCCTGGGATCATGACCTGAGCTGAAGTCAGACGCTTAACGATCTGAGCCACCCAGGCGCCCCTGAAACCGAGATCCTTAGTGGGTGTTGGGGTCCCATGGGGGCAGCAGGGGCCAGAGTCAGGATTCCAAGAGTTCGAGGTCGTGGGCAGAAGACACCAGAAGATGAGAGTCGGGGTAGCAGCTGTGAGCTGGGAATGAGGTGGGGTGCTGAGTCGGGGGGAGCGGTCACAAACCCCAGCACTGGAATTCCTGGGTTCCACCAACTACCTCGAGTTCCTTAATCTCACCTGTGAAGTGTGAATCACCAGGGTGCCCAATTTAAAGAGCTCTTGAAGGATCAAATAAGATAACCTTTGGAAAGCACTTAGCACGAGGTTTAGCCCCGCAAAGTTCCACTCAGCAATAACTCCAGTTCCAGAAGAAAAAGCAAAAATAGTTGTTTTGGGAGCGGACGCTTCAGCCTGGGGACAGAGGGAGCTGGACAAGACGGAGGCAGCCGCAGCTGCCTGCACGGAGGTTCAAGGCACTAGAACCTTCCTTCCCTCCTGTTTTCCAGAAATTCATTGTCCAACACACAAACCCCTTCAATGCCTGGATAGGTCTCACTGACAGCGAGGGCACCTGGAAATGGGTGGATGGCACAGACTATCAGCAGAACTACAAGTAAGTGGCCTCCCCTCTGCCCTGTTGGTTTGGCCTGGGGCCAGCCCCCTGGTCTTTTGCTCCATTACACTCCCACCCTTCCCCCGGGGACCAAACTCCCAACCCTCTCCCTCCCAGGCTGCTGCATCGCCTCCCTGAACCCCTCCTCCTCGGCTGTGCTTTTCTGAGGTGGGGGTGAGCGTTGCAGGGCTGGGGGTCAGAGCTTGAGCTCCATCCTGCCTTCCTAGGAACTGGGCGGCCACTCAGCCAGATGACTGGCAGGGGCATGAGGTGGGTGGAGGTGAAGACTGTGCGGTAGTCCAGGCGAATGGACGCTGGAACGACCATTTCTGCAAGCAGGTGCAACGCTGGGTGTGCGAGATGAGGCTGAACATCACGGCTTAGGAGCCCGCCCCCCTGCCCCGCCCCCAGCTCTCTGCAGGGAGGATTTTGAAGAAAGGAAAAATAGAGGGGAGGGGTCGAGACAGGAGGGAGGGTGTGCTGTGAGCATCACAGACCCCCAGAGACACTGAGGTCCCGCCTCCTTCCGCAAGTGACTGTCATGATTATAATTTTCAGCCCGCTCCATGGGGTAGGGAAAGAAGATGCAAGTATTTGAAATTGCATGGACTGGTCATTTGTAACTGGGAGATGTGGGGAGCAAAGAAGAGGGGGGCATCTGGAAGAGACAGATTTAGTCCTAGACAGCTGCCCCTTGAGACCCCATCCCAAGGGACACGGGTCAGGGAGGGGAGGGAGGTTTGGAGCAGAGATGCTCAGCTCGAGGCAGCAGGTGGGGGCCGGAGGGACTGCATGGGGAAGCAGCTCCCCCCACCCCAGGGGATCTCCCACAGAAGAGGTTTCAGGGAACAACGGGGCTCCTCCCAACCCCAGGAGCTGTGGTTTGGCTGACGGGGGCTGCAGAAAATGCTTGCTAAGGGAACGGGGTTCGGTAAGACGCTGTCCCCTATCTGCAGTGGGACCACCTCTTCTGGACCCCTAAGAGATCTAGACCTTTCTCTAGCACAGGGTGTCACCAGCCACTTCCTCTGGGGCTAAATGTCACCTTCCAAAATCATTCTGAAGCCAATATTAAGAGGTTCTTGAAGCAATTAGAGTTGTTGTTTTATTTTTACTGCAAAAGTAATATATACTATTAGGAAAAAATGCTTCTCTCTCACACACACAGGGATGCTCCTCACGCCTCCCACCTCTCCCAGAGTTAACTATTTTGTGGCCATTGGATTAGGGCTCTCCAAAGAACCAGCAGGATGTGTGTGTCTGTGTATGTGTGATTTATTAAAGAGATTTATTACAAGGAATGGGCTCATGCGGTTATGGAGGGTGGCAAGTCCCAGGTTCTGCAGGTGCGCGGGTGAGCTGGAGACCCCGGAGAGCCAGTGACCCCAGTTCCAGTCTGAGTCCAAAGCATGAGACCCAGGAGAGCCGACGGTGTGGCTCCATGTGAAGGCAGCAAGCTCAAGACCCAGGGAGGGCGGATGTTTCCATCGCAGCCCGAGCCAGCAAGAAAGCCGGGGTCCCAGGGTGGAGGGGTCAGGCGGGAAGGACTCTGTCTTACTCCCGGGAGGGTCAGTCTTCTTGTTCCCATCAGGGCTTTAGCCAACGGAGCCGGCCGGCCCAGTTTGCTCTACCAGTTCCAATGCTCATCTCATCCCCAAACACGCCCCCAGACACACTCAGATTCGTGTCTGACCAACTCCCGAGGCGCCCTGTGGTCCCGTCCAGCTGACCCACGGAATCACCCGTTCCACGTGTCCCATCGGGACGTTTCCCGCGTTCCTGCGTGGATGCAGCAGAACCTATCACTAGGTCGCGTGCTCCTCCTGCTTCCCCGGGTCTGAGGGCGTCCGTCCAGCCTCTGCTGTTCCCTGACCAGTTTATGTTGGCAAACTTCGCAGCGGTAGAGAGTTCCAATGTATGGATGTGCCACACGTGACTCAGACATGCCCCAGGGTGGACGGCGAGCTGCTCTTTTTGCCTGTTTTCACATGTCCTATTTCAAGCGGTTGCTGCTTCTAGCCTCGCACCGTGCTGAGACTTCCTAGCGTTCACTTGCAAAGTTCTCTAGGACGTCTCCTTCAAAAAGTGGTCGGACTGATCATTCGTGCAGCTTGAAGTCTTGTGGGGCTCGAGGCAGCCGCCCCTGCTGCTCAGAGAAGCTCGCTTTTGGTGCTTTGGCTGTGTCTCCCAGCATTGACATCAGAATTTCTAAATAATAGATGCAAACGGGTATTTCTTTATTGATCACTTGTGAGTGTTACTTAGTAACTCTCTATCATGTCGACGGGGCACGATCTTCTCGTTCAGTCTGCAACAGTTTTTTTTTTTTAAAGATTTTTATTTATTCATTCATGAGAGACAGAGAGGCAGAGGGAGAAGCAGGCTCCCAAGGAGCAGAGAGCCCGATGCGGGACTCGATCCCAGGACCCCGGGATCATGACCTGAGCCGAAGGCAGACGCTTAACCATCTGAGCCACCCAGGCGCCCCAGTCTGCAACAATTTTAATTTAAATCCTAAATCAGGATCCGTATCGGTTATGGCTGGGTCGACCCTGGTACCTGCTGAGCCCAGCGGTATGATCCGGTTTCTAGCTCCTTGCACAACTTCTGTTTCTTCTGAAGTTAATAATTGTTTCACTTAAAAATTTTTTTTCTTCGTATGCTTTGAACCTATTGCAAAGTCATCCTTGACTGTACAAAGCCTGGGTATAATTTTCTTTTTTTAAAAATGTTTAAAAAGATTTTATTTATTTATTTATTTACTAGAACGAGAGAGAGAGACAGCAAGAGAGGGAACACTAGCAGGGGGAGTGGGAGAGGGAGAAGCGGGCTTCCCGCGGAGCAGGGAGCCCGATGCGGGGCTCGATCCCAGGACCCCGGGATCATGACCTGAGCCGAAGGCAGATGCTCAATGACTGAGCCACCCAGGCGCCCCATGGGTTTAATTTTCTACACACGCCGACTGGTCGTCTAACCAGGATCTGAGCTGCACTTCATTCCTAGAGCCACATGGGTGAATGTGAGTTTTATGGGGCCTGAAGCGTACACAGTTTTGAGGAGCCCTCCTTAGAAAAAAAACAACATTATGGGGGCACCTGGGTGACACAATCGATTAAGCATCTGACTCTTGGTTGTGACTCAGGTCATGATCTCAAGGTCATGGGATTGAACCCTGTGTCCAGCTCTGCGCTCAGCAGGGAGTCTGCTTAAGATTCTCTCCCTCTCCCTCTGCCCCTCCCCACTGCAGTCTCTCTCTCTCAAATAAATGAATAAATCTTAAAAAAATAGCGTTGCGAATACAAAAGCATCACAGCTAATATTTGCTTAAGTTAGACCCCCCCACAACTTTATGAAGCTGAAAGCTACCGTGAACATCACAAAAGCCTGAAGAATGATACAATGTAACAATCGTCCAGCATACCTCAAAAATGCATTTTCCCTACACTTTTTTATGATGCAATACCGTTGGCTTCTGCATGTGACGAAGATGTCAGGGGACCTTCCAGAGAGAGGAGAGAAAGGTCATTGTAGCGTCCTCTTTATTGCGACGTCAAGTGCTTCAGAGCTTAGGAGGGATGAGTAGGCGACGCTTGGGGGATTTTTAGGGAGTGAAACTATTCTGTATGAACTCTACTGGTGGATACATGTCATTATACATGAGTTAAAACCCACAGGATCGGGACTCCTGGGTGGCTCAGTTGGTGAAGCGACTGCCTTCGGCTCAGGTCATGATCCCGGGGTCCTGGGATCGAGCCCCGCGTCGGGCTCCCTGCTCAGCGGGGCATCTGCTTCTCCCTCTGCCTGCCGCTCCCCCTGCTGGTGCTCTCTCTCTCTCTCTCTGACGAATAAATACATAAAATCTTAAAAAAAAAAACGAACCCAAAAAACCTCACAGGATGCACAACCCAGAGTGACCCGTAAAACAAACTATGGACTTTGGTTAATAACAACGTATCACGGGGCGCCTGGCTGGCTCAGGTGGTAGAGCACGTGACTCTTGATCTCTGGGTCACCAGTTCGAGCCTGTAAAGATTTCTTAAAAAAAAAAAAAAAGTGTCAATATTGGCTCATCACTGGTATCCGAGGTACCTTTGTATTAAAGGCAAGGTGGGAGAGAAAAGGAAGACAAAACTAAAATGAAAATGGCAATTCTTTTGAGTTATTAGAATGACTCACTTGCCGAGAGAGTAAACCCGAGCGTGTTTCATGATAGTAAGCAGAACATTTATAGAGTCAAACGGTCTCTGAAAGATGAACAACTTAGCGGGAGCCAACAGCTTCCTAGAATAATAATAAGCAAAAATAAAAGTTGCTTATACTGTGCTTTTAGAAGTAATTTTGCCACAGCAATCTATCAAAGGAAGACCTGAATACACGCCAAAAAGAGATTAAAAAAATACTTATGGGGTGCCTGAGTGGCTCAGTCGTTAAGCGTCTGCCTTCGGCTCAGGTCATGATCCCAGGGTCCTGGGATCAAGCCCCGCATCGGGCTCCCTGCTCAGCGGGGAGTCTGCTTCTTCCTCTCCCGCTCCCCCTGCTTGTGTTCCCTCTCTCGCTGTGTCTCTCTGTCAAATAAATAAATTAAATCTTTAAAAAAAAATAAAAATAAAATACGACTAAATTAAATTCATGTATAAATAACAAAAAGAGAACCACGACATCTTAGCTGTTTGTAAATGAAGAGCTGCTTTCCTATTATCACCATGATTCAAAGTGAAAGTTATCTAGAAAAGAAAGAAATACATCAAAACCTATGGGACACAGCAAAAGCCGGGCTCAGAGGAAAACGTACAACCTCATTTTTTTATTAAAGATTTTATTTATTTGAGAGAGAGATCGAGCGAGCACAAGTCAGGGGCAGAGGCAGAGGGAGAAGCAGATTCCCTGCTCAGAAGGGAGCCCGATGTGGGGCTCGATCTCAGGACCCTGAGATCATGACCTGAGCTGAAGGCAGACGCTTCACCGACTGAGCCACCCAGGCGCCTCAGGTTTTGACTATTGCAAACAAAGCTGCTGTGAACGTTCATGCACAGGTTTTTATGTGAACACAGATTTTCATTTTTCTGGGATAAATATGCAAGAGGACAATTGCTGGGTCATATAGTGGTTGCACGTTTAGTTCCAGAAGAAAGTGCCAAACCGCTTTCCAGAGTGGTCACCCCATTTTCTATGCCAACCACCCAGCACGTGAATGATCCCCTTTGTCTGTAGCCTCACCTGCATTTGGCTGCTATCGTTCATTTTTTAAATTTTAGCTATTCTAGTAAGTGTGTAGTTGTTTATTGCTGTGGTTTCAATTTGCATTTCCCTGATGGCTGATGGTGTCATGCATCCCCTCATGTGCTTACTTCCCATCTGCATATCCTCTTTGGGGGAAACGTCTCTTTGTGGTTTTTTGCCCATTTTTCTAATAGGGTTCTTGGATTTTTCTACTGTTGGATTTTGAGAATTCTTTTTTTTAAATATCTCATTGTGTAATTATAGTTGAGTGAATTTATTTGAAAAGCTTAGAAAGTATTTTTGGAGCGTTTGACTAATTTCTTTCAGTAACTATATCTGAGCACCTTCTGAGAGCAAATCAATAAGTGAATAAGAGCAAATCTGAATAAGACAGTGTAAACCATTAAAGCCTACATTTGTCATCTCTTCACTGAGTGGGGTTCAGAGAATTCTTTACATATTCTAGACACTGGTCTTTTGTTGGGTATGTGGTCTGCAAATATTTCCTCCAAGTCTGTAGCTTGTCTTTTCTACCCTCTTAGCAAAGATCTGTTTACCAAAACACTCACATGAAAAAATAAAATCTTGGCAAAGCCCAATTAAGGAAGTGAGAGAAGTGACATGGCCACATGAGAGATTAAGCGACACTTTTCCTGTTTTTATAGAAATTTGGCTGCATTCCCAAAGCTGAGAATGATTGTTGATAATGCCCTCCTTTACAACGGAGCCGGATGCATCTAGGCAGGATTTACCAAGAGGTGGCAAAACAAAGCAGCACCATTCCTCCCAGCCTCCGTAAGAGAGGACTAGGGGGTTAGGGGGCTTGTTTCAAGGGAATTCTTAGACGTGGCGAGAGATTCGAGTCTTTTTTTTTCTCCATATGGAGGAGGGAAGTGCTTCTCCACAGCCCATTAGCCAGATGCTGGAGTCCAAAGGGAACCACAGTAGAGCCGGGGTGTCTGCAAGGCGGGGAAGAGACAGTCATGTCACTCTCGGGCCAGCAGACGCTGTTGGGACGGCTGTTTGAGAGGGGCAGGAAGAGCGTTAGGGGAGGCTGGGGATGTGTCTCCAGGAGTTTTGA